CTTTTAGACTTTTCCAGATATTTTACTTTATTCACAGATATTTTCCTGTAGAAACACACTGAGCTCTCTTCACCCTGTTCCCCTGTCTGCTTCAGCTGCTGGATCGCTTTAGCCTCTTATGCTATGTTAGCTCATAGCTACTGTGCTGCTTCTTTTAGCTTATAGCTACTGTACTGCTTCTTTTAGCTTATAGCTACTGTACTGCTTCTTTTAGCTTATAGCTACTGTACTGCTTCTTTTAGCTTATAGCTACTGTTCTACTTTTAGTTTATAGCTACTGTTATCCTACTTTTAGCTTATAGCTACTGTATTGCTTCTTTTAGCTTATAGCTACTGTTCTCCTACTTTTAGCTTATAGCTACTATTTTACTTTTAGTTTATAGCTACTGTTATCCTACTTTTAGCTTATAGCTACTGTATTGCTTCTTTTAGCTTATAGCTACTGTTATCCTACTTTTAGCTTATAGCTACTGTTTTACTTTTAGCTTATAGCTACTGTACTGCTTCTTTTAGCTTATAGCTACTGTTATCCTACTTTTAGCTTATAGCTACTGTTATTATACTTTTAGCTTATAGATACTGTTCTCCTACTTTTAGCTTATAGCTACTGTTTTACTTTTAGCTTATAGCTACTGTTATCCTACTTTTAGCTTATAGCTACTGTTCTACTTTTAGCTTATAGCTACTGTATTGCTTCTTGTAGCTTATAGCTACTGTATTGCTTCTTTTAGCTTATAGCTACTGTTCTCTTACTTTTAGCTTATAGCTACTGTATTGCTTCTTGTAGCTTATAGCTACTGTATTGCTTCTTTTAGCTTATAGCTACTGTTCTCCTACTTTTAGCTTATAGCTACTGTTATACTTTTAGCTTATAGCTACTGTTCTCCTACTTTTAGCTTATAGCTACTGTTATTATACTTTTAGCTTATAGCTACTGTAGTACAGTCTACTTGTTATGTTTAGCTGGTGAAGTTAGGTTTTGTTCTCAGTGAGGGAAGAATGTGAGATCATCAGATCAGTCCAGGTTCTGCAGTATTGTGGACCCTGTACCGGTCTGTTGTGGAATCAGAGGTCCACTGTCCACAGATCCTGCTACTTCCTGTCTGTTGACCAATAGTAGGGGAGCTTACCCAAGAAACTCCGCCCACATTATTTGCATAAAGAGGCAGAAATGCTTAAAGTAAAGTAAAAAGACTTCTGGGAAAAAAGCATTAAATAATTCTAAATAATGACCTTGCTATGGCCCACAGATTCCTGGCTCCACCCCTGCAGCTGCAGCATGCAGGCCGACTCCAGGTTGGCCCCACGTTGGGCACCAATATGAAGCGTCATATTTTTCATTAAAAACTGTAATCATTAAGAGTTATTTTTCTAAAAAGCTCTCTACTGTAAAATACATTGGTGCTTTACTTGGTCTGCTTGAGAAGAACATGAGTTTCCTGACTCCTCTTCATAGTCGGTTCCAGTCAGAAGAACACACACAGGTTCTGGTTCAGGTGTTCTGGCTGTGGTCTGTGTTGACATGACTGTTGTGTGTTCAGTCTCCAGCCAACGTGGAGAAAGCTCTGCGTCTCTTCAGCCAGCTTCTGAACAACAAGATGTTCCTGCTGACCTTCATCCACACRCTAGAGGCTCAGAGGTCCTTCTCCATGAGGGACCGAGGGAACGTGGCCTCGCTGCTGATGGCCGCCCTRCAGGTACCGCCCACTGCCGGACCCTTCTTTGTGTTTCACTGTTGAAGGCGGAGCAGTAACCTGTGAGCCTTGGTCATCTGAAGCTGATATTCTGCTCAGTTTCTGATCGTCTCTTCAGGGTCGGATGGAGTATGCCACAGTGGTTCTGAAGCAGCTGCTAGCTGACCTGATTGAGAAGAACCTGGAGAACAGGAACCATCCCAAACTCCTGCTGAGGAGGTGGGTGCATGGTCCCTCATAAAATATTCTGGTTCCAGTGGATCCACCTCTGGTTCTGGTTCTGGTTCAGTAACAGTAAATGTCTGAAGATAGGGAAGCAGCTTTTGTGTAGTTAGCATTAACAAACTCACCCTGTCCAGTCTGATGTGACCCTTCAGGTCAGAGCTGTCCTCCCAGTGTTCACCTCTGACCTCTGACCTCTGACCTCTGTGTTTGTTCAGGACCGAGTCTGTTGCTGAGAAGATGCTGACCAACTGGTTCACCTTCCTGCTGCACCGGTTCCTCAAGGTTCTCCTTCCTTCCCGTCCTCCACTAACTAGTCAGAACTCAGTCTGATTCTGACCAATCAGAGCTCAGTCTGATTCTGACCAATCAGAGCTCAGTCTGATTCTGACCAATCAGAGCTCAGTCTGATTCTGACCAATCAGATTAGAGCTTCAGTTTATTTATTTAATGAAAGCAGGAGTAACATAACAACCAATCCTTTCTTTCTTTTTCTTTTGCTGTGTTGTCCTCTTTCATTTCCTGTTTCCTCCTTTCGTTCCCTACCTCCTTGCCCCGCCCCCTCAGGAGTGCGCAGGTGAGCCACTCTTTATGTTGTACTGCGCCATAAAGCAGCAGATGGAGAAAGGTCCGATTGACGCCATCACTGGAGAGGCTCGTTACTCCCTGAGTGAAGACAAACTCATCCGCCAGCAGATAGACTACAAACAGCTGGTAATGTATCCATACACCTGACAAGTAGTCCCAATTTAAACTGTCTAAAAGCTGATAAAACACAGGACCAGTACTGGGTCTGAACTCAGAACTGGGTCAGATCTCAGACCCTGGTTCTCAGCAGCTCTTGTTCTTTCCTTTCAGACCTTGATGTGTATCCCTCCAGAGGGTGAAGCTGGGACCGAGGTCCCGGTGAAGGTTCTGAACTGTGACACGGTGACTCAGGTCAAAGACAAACTACTGGACGCGGTTTATAAAGGGATCCCGTTCTCACAGAGACCTCAGGCTGACGACATGGACCTGGGTAAGGTCACGTGACTTCCTGTTGTTGCAGCAGCGAGTGGCATGCAGACCTCGGTCCGTCAACTTCCTGTCTGTGTTCTCAGAGTGGAGACAGGGTCGACTCACCAGGATCATCCTGCAGGACGAAGACGTGACCACAAAGATTGAGAGCGACTGGAAGAGACTGAACACTCTGGCCCACTATCAGGTCTGAAGACCAACTGCTCCTCCTGGAGCCTCCTGTGTCTGCAACTGAAATATTTGAATATATTTATTATATAAATTATTTATTATATAGACATCCAGGGGTTAGACAATGAAGCTGAAACACCTGTCATTTTAGTGTGGGAGGTTTCATGGTTAAACTGGACCAGCCTGGTGGTCAGTCTTCATTAACTGCACCAGTAAGAGCAGAGTGTGAAGGGTCAGTTAGCAGGGTAAGAGCACAGTTTGGATCTAAATATTACAATGTACACAACATTATGGTGACATACCAGAGTTCAAAAGAGGACAAATTGTTGGTGCATGTCTTGTTGGAGCATCTGTGACCAAGACAGCAAGTGTTTGTGATGTATGAAGAGCCACAGTATCCAGGGTAATGTCAGCAGACCACCAACAAGGACCAACCACATCCAACAGGATTAACTGTGGACGCAACAGGAAGCTGTCTGAAAGAGATGTTATGGTCTAAAACCAGCTGTTTCATTGTCTAACACCTGTTTGTGTTAAACATATATAAACTAAGACTTCAGTGTTGATGAGTGTAAGCAGCAGGTTTATAACAACAGGTGTGGAGGTCAGAGTCAGCTGCAGAGGAACACTCAGACTGGACCAGAATGGACTTATTGAAAGGACAGTTAGTCCACTGATGGATGGACCGCTCTCTGACTGACTGCTTGTGTGTTGCCAGGTAACAGACGGGTCCGCCGTGGCGCTGGTCCAGAAGCAGGTCTCTGCCTACAACATCGCCAACTCCTTCACCTTCACGCGCTCACTGAGCAGATACGGTAAAATGTTCCTGACATGTTCTGTTCACTGAGTGTTAGTGATGAGGTCATCCCCATCTGCAGGACAGGTTACCGTGACAACCAAGACAAAAATAGATGATTTGTTTTCAGATTCAGGGTTAACATTGTCCCACTGTCAACTGTCTCTGTCCTCAGAGACTCAGATTTGTCTCCTGAGTCCAGCTCTTCAACAAGAAACCTTCTGTCTGCAGCAGAAAGGTTCTGAACTTCAGATTCTGACCGCTTGTGTCTCTGTTTGTACCATCAGAGTCCTTACTGCGGACCTCCAGCAGTCCTGACAGCCTGCGGTCCAGAGCCCCCATGATTACCCCGGACCAGGAGACAGGTACTGTAGGGACATCAGAACCAAACAGATCACGGTGTCCAGATTAGAATCTTACATAACTGAAGCCTGAAACCTCACAGAGAAAACCTGGATCCTGAAGAAGGTTCTGGAAGGTTCTGGATCTAGAGTTTRTTTTTTTACTGAAGCTGATTTTGTGTTTTCAGGAACAAAACTTTGGCATCTGGTGAAAAATCACGAGCACAGCGACCAGAGAGAAGGAGACCGAGGCAGCAAGATGGTCTCTGAGATCTACCTGACCAGACTGCTGGCCACCAAGGTATCCTACACCACAGACCACTACACCTCTGTAGAGTGGTCTCCATCCCACATCCAAGACCACCAGACCTCAGCTTAGTGGTCTCTATCCCAATCCAAGACCACCAGACCTCAACAGAGGGGTCTCTATCCCAATCCAAGACCACCAGACCTCAGCAGAGGGGTCTCTATCCCACATCCAAGACCACCAGACCTCAGCAGAGGGTTCTTCAGAGTTTATATCCCACATCCAAGACCACCAGACCTCAGCAGAGGGGTCTTCAGAGTTTATATCCCACATCCAAGACCACCAGACCTCAGCAGTGGGGTCTCTATCCCACATCCAAGACCACCACACCTCAGCAGAGGGGTCTTCAGAGTTTATATCCCACACTTCATGTGATTGGTGAATTTGAAAAATATCTAAACTTATATATAAACTTGAGGGCACAATTTGAGACAAAAACTTCCAAACAAAGTCTTGGGTAAAAAGTCCTGGGTTCAGTGTTTTTGCATTAGTCCTTCTGGTCCAGGTCTACCCTAATTTCTGGAACCCTGAGAGCTGTGGTTCCAATCAGTCCAGATGTTGGTGTTTTGTCACATAGATGAGAGTGAYTTTATGCTTTTGCAGCGACTGTAAGGTTTGTTTCACTCTTGTTTAACTACACAACATTAGCAGGCTACCAAATACAATAAGCTAACATTAGCTAACATTAGCTTTCCTTTCTCTGTCGTCCTGCCCTCTCGTATTCAGCATCACACAGGTGGATGGTCCGGTTCAATATTCAGTACTTTTCCTTTAGTTTGGTGTAGTTCGTTATTGTTCTGTTGAAAAGAAAACAAAATAAGTTGCCACGTGTTTAATATGATCCCGTCCACATGGCTCTCTGCTCAATGCAAACACAACCGAGCCGGGTTAGAGTACGGCCAGGTCATGAGCTGCTCTTGATATTCCTAATAGTCAGTTGAATTAACACCATCTTCAAGTCATCAAGCCTCATGGCTTCCTAAGAGCAAATCGGACGATTGTGGGTCTTCTGGTCAGAACCTGGTTAATAGACCTACAGTTCTGTCTTGGCTCAGGTCTGCTGGTGGCTTTATGCATTGGGATGTTGGGTGGCCAACCATTCTCAGAATGTGTTGAAGTTCTAGATTTTATTGGAGACATTGTTGAGTGTTTTTAACATGTTGGTCTTTAAATCACCAGGGGACACTGCAGAAGTTTGTAGATGACCTGTTTGAGACCGTGTTCAGCACTGCCCACCGCGGCTCGGCGCTCCCGTTGGCTATAAAATACATGTTTGACTTCTTGGACGAACAGGCTGACAAACGACAGATCACTGACCCAGACGTCCGGCACACCTGGAAAAGCAACTGGTAAGAGAGAGAGACGTCTTACTGCCAGTTGTGGACTCATGAGGTTGGAGCTCATGTCACTGTGGTCTCCAGCCTTCCTCTCAGGTTCTGGGTCAACGTCATTAAGAATCCTCAGTTTGTGTTCGACATCCATAAGAGCAGCATCACAGACGCCTGCCTGTCAGTTGTTGCTCAGACCTTCATGGACTCCTGCTCCACGTCTGAACATCGGCTCGGCAAAGACTCGCCGTCCAATAAACTGCTGTACGCTAAAGACATCCCCAACTACAAGAGCTGGGTGGAGAGGTAAAGACCCCCAAAATAATCATCAAATAACTTACAGTAAAAACAAACAGTAAACTATAGTAACAAACAGTAAACTATAGTAACAAACAGTAAACTATAGAAACAACGTAAAATATAGAAACAAACAGTAAATTATAGAAACAAAGTAAACTATAGAAACAAACAGTAAACTGTAGAAACAAATTAAACCATAGAAACAAACAGTAAACTGTAGAAACRAAGTAAACTATAGAAACAAAGTAAACCATAGAAACAAACAGTAAACTATAGTAGCCAACAGTAAACTATAGTAACAAACAGTAAACTGTAGAAACAAAGTAAAGTATAGAAACAAAGTATACCAAAGAAACAAACAGTAAACTATAGTAACAAACAGTAAACTATAGTAACAAACAGTAAACTATAGAAACAAACAGTAAACTATAGAAACAAAGTAAATAACTATAGATACTAACAGTAAACTATAGAAACACAGTAAACTATAGAAACAAAGTAAACCATAGAAACAAACAGTAAACTATAGTAACAAACAGTAAACTATAGAAACAAACAGTAAACTATAGTAACAAACAGTAAACTATAGAAACCAACAGTGAACTATAGAAACAAACTGTAAACTATAGAAACAAAGTAAATAACTATAGATACTAACAGTAAACTATAGAAACACAGTAAAGTATAGAAACCAACAGAAAACTATAGAAACAAACAGGAAACTATAGAAACCAACAGAAAACTACAGAAACAAACAGTAAACTATAGAAACAAACGGTAAACTTTAGTAACAAACAGTAAACTATAGAAACAAACAGTAAACTATACAAAACAAACAGTAAACTTTAGTAACAAACAGTAAACTATAGAAACAAACAGTAAACTATAGAAACAAACAGTAAACTATAGAAACCAACAGAAAACTATAGAAACAAACAGTAAACTATAGAAACAAACAGAAAACTATAGAAACAAACAGTAAACTATAGAAACAAACAGTAAACTTTAGTAACAAACAGTAAACTACAGAAACAAACAGTAAACTATAGAAACAGTAAACTATAGAAACAAACAGTAAACTATAGTAACAAACAGTAAACTTTAGAAACCAACAGTGAACTATAGAAACAAACAGTAAACTTTAGTAACAAACAGTAAACTACAGAAACAAGAAAGACTAAAAGAATAGTCTGAACAATGCTCTGTCCTCGTCCCTGTCCTCCAGATACTACAGGGACATCTCAAAGATGACCAGCATCAGTGATCAGGATATGGACGCCTATCTGGTGGAGCAGTCCCGACTCCACGGCACCGAGTTTAACACACTGAGCGCGCTCAATGAGCTCTACTTCTACATAAATAAGTTCAAGGAAGAGGTGAGTGCGGCCATCTTGTTTCTGTTTGATTGTTGTCCTGATGCATCTCAGTAATCCAGGTAAAAAATCAAAAGGAAAAAAAAATTGTATAGGTCCTCTGGACGGG